TAGTTTTAGTAGAGACGGGGTTTCACCATGTTGACCAGGATGGTCTCGATCTCTTGACCTCGTGATCCACCCGCCTCGGCCTCCCAAAGTGCTGGGATTACAGGCGTGAGCCACCGCGCCTGGCCCTGACTGCTCTTAACTACACAAAGGAGTCAGGCTCAACAATACACTCAGCAGCTATGTGATTATGGCCAATTTACTTAAGCTCTGTGCCTCGGTTTCCTACCACAAAGAACTGGTATTAAATGAATTACATTAAATTAAATGAGTCAATATGTATAAAGTCCCTAACACAATGTCTGGCACATGAAAACTGCTATTTCATTGTCTGTTAAAGAAAATAACACACACATGCTAATCCTTACAACTGGGGCACAACTGGGAATGAAAATATAATTTCAAATATTTACATAATTCATGAATTCCCAGTACTTCCATTGATGGTGACAGAAGCTAGAGTTTAGTAATGTTGGAAGACACAATTTTTTTTTTTTTTTTGAGGTCATCAGGCTGGAGTGCAGTGGCGTGATCTTGGCTCACTGGAACCCGCCCCACCTCCAGCATGCCCAGCTAATTTTTTTGTATTTTTAGTAGAAATGGGGTTTCACCATGTTGGCCAGGATGGTCTCGATCTCTTGACCTTGTGATCCCCCCATCTCAGCCTCTCAGGCGTAAGCCATCGCGCCCGGCCAAGACATAATTTTTATATACACAAATATGGTAGGTGGTAATGTTTTCCACAGAGTATAAAAAGGAGATTTCCCGTGGCTATAGATGCAGGGTGGAGAGTTAATTACAAGGATCACAAGTGATAGTAATCATCAAAGCCACACATAAGGGTTCAGAGACAAGTTAGGTCTTGTTGGGTCATTGGTACGTACTTAATGTGCAGTTGACTGTGGACTGTGTGCTAATGAAGGAAATCAATCCCAGGGATTAATGCTGATGTAAGGATTAGTATCATCTACATGCAGTGAATTAGCTCCTCAGTGATGGAGGGTTCCTGGCACTACCTACAGGTCAAAGCTCCTCTTGCTCATGCTTTACAGACTGTGGCAAAATCCCAGGGCCCCTTTCTGAGGCACATTATGGTCTCAGGTCAGTAGCATCTATGACATGGAAAGATCAGAAAAGAGTATTCCAGGGGGTCAGGACACTCAATCATAAACCAACAAAGCCAAGGCTGGGACCATCCTTGGTTTAACTCTTCTGGCTCCTAGCTGCCTTGAAGTGGGCGTTAGCCCTCACCTCTGTATCTGAACACTGAGCTATAGGCCAAACCTATGGACGCCTTTCCTCTACCTACTCAGGAGGGCAGGTCCTGAATCCTGCAGGGGAGCTGGGCTGTTGTCACTTACTCTGGCTATCTTGGCAGCAAAGCCAAACCAAAAACCAGCCGCTTACTAACCCGGGCCTGGGGTGGGAGCTGCGCCAGCACAAGCAATGGCTTAGCAGCTCTACTCACCACGCAGTCGTCGATGATTTCTGCCAGGCGTGTCCGGTGTTTCCGCCCCAGCCGCATGATCTTTTTCCACGTGTAGTAGTACTCCACACACTGAGCCACCGTCTTGGACTTCACCTGCCGGGAAAGAGAGCTCAAGGTTAGCTCTAGCAGTGGGCAGAGAGCAAAGGCAGCAAGATTTTTTGAATATTTAATTTTGTAATAGGTAATAAATAAGTTTATACAGTTCAAGAGAAAAATGTACACAGTGAAAGGCCTCCTTCCCATGCCTGTCCTCACCCCTCACCATGCAATACAGGTAGCCCCCTGCGTTAATTTCTTATCCTTCCAGAATTTTTTCTTTCTTTTTTTTTTTTTTTTTTT